AAAGAGAAGCATAGAGGAAAGCAAGATCCCAAATGCAAGGCCCATTGGTGTTAATTATGGCTAATGCATGAAAAAGCAGTCTGAAAAGAGTTGTAATCCTGTGCATAGGGCCTTGTCATGCACAGAGGCTGCACTAGGACCAGAGAAGTGCACATAGGAACTTTACACTGCATTTGTGCACACACCCCTGGATCTGTCATCTCAGCAACTCAGTCTGTCACAGCCGTACTGATAGCACTGTTGTCATATGAGAGAAAGCATTCCCCGTCCAGGAGGAAAGGTGATGCCAAGCGCTTTCCCCCCCATATGGATATAATCTATAAACTGATGTACAACTATACAGATTACTTCAGCCATCTTTAATATGTAGCCAGTCCTCAAGTTTTTTAAATAGCATACAAGTTTAATTGCACATAGTAGATGGCAGCTAATCTGTTAAAATATTAAAAACCATAGCTGAAAAGTTCAATGCATGATTTAAGTTTTGTAATTCGTTATGCTCACACCCTTTTGCATTTAGCAATAAAAGACAGAACAGTATTCATGTTACAATATTTTAAGGTAAAATAACACCTAATCATTAAAAACGATTTTGGAAATGTACTTACCAAAAGGAAAACTTTACTGTCAGGCTTGACCTTGTGTTTCTCCATGTATTTTATGAGGCTACTATTGGCATATCTGGAAAATTGCCAAGCAAAAACATTTCATAAGTAACAGAGTATAAGACTCAGGAAATGTAGCAGGCAGTAAAGAAAACTCATATTAACTAAAAGAGATTCCCTTTGTATTACATTTGCTAGCAGATATAATGTCTTATCTATAACCTGTCATTTCCTCTGTTCTGTAAAGCATGAATACGTGTCCTAACTTTTGTTCTTGGTACTTATAAACTGTGAGTATTTATTACAATAGAATATATAACTGCACTGCCTCAGACAGGCACAGTGATTCCAACAGTGTGGCTGTTCTGTGATCATTTGATACCTGAGTGCTTGTTGCAATCGCTTCTCTTAGTTGGCTGGGAAATAGCTTAACCTTTTTGCAATAAAAACACTATGTGGAATTTTAGTATCCACTCAGATCAAAATACAGGAAATCCTCACTTAACGTCCTTCTGGTTGACATTGTTTTGTTATTACGTCGCTGATCTATTAGAGAACATACTCGTTTAAAGTCGCACAAAGTTCGGTTATAATGTTGTCTGGCTGCCGCCTGCTAGTAGGTAACTACTGTGACATAACTGGATTCACTTAACATTGTTTTGCTTAAAGTCACATTTTTCAAGAACATAACTACGGCATTAAGCGAAGAGTAGCTGCATGTGGAATATATATCTTGCTTTTAATATGCAGATATCAGGTATAATTATTATTTGACAGTGATAAACTTGATGCACAGAAAAGCTCTTATGATTTGTCTAAGGTCACTGTCATGATACGGCCTCCCCAGGGATGGCTGTGATGTCCCTAGAGCCCCATGACTGTCAGCTCTGCCCTATGGGCGCGTACGAATCTCACCTGCCACGTCTTGCTGGTTTAAACAATGAAATTGGGAGGCTGCCCTCAGGTTGCTGCTCGATCACAGTCCTGACAGACTCCTCTAAACGCTGTAGGTTGTTGGACCCTTTACTGGGTCCCACACTCAGGTGGTGTCTTATGATACCCCCCAAGCCTTATGAGCTAGATGCGTGGCTCCAAAACCTCCCCTTTACCACACCCCATACCTCGCAGATGGTATTAGATGTCCCTTTTTATGAGACCTCCATCTAGCTTGGCCTCCTGTCATCGCACACTCTGGCGCTGGGCTCTCCGCAGCCCTGTCTCCACGCCCTCTCTGGCGCTGGGCTCTCCGCACTGCAGTGTGCCCCAATGAGACCTCCTCCTCCCCAATAGCCTCAGCCTGGTCCACCAGTTTAAATAACAACAGAACACACAAGCCCCTGGGCTACAACACAACAATAACATAGGTCCACACTCTATCCCTTTTAAGAAGGCAAGATTCTCTCTCAGTTTAAAGGGTCTCCTCCCCACCAGCATTTACGAGCTCCTATAGCCCCTTAATCCTACCAGCATCACAACAGGCAGTCAAGCATTTCCAAGTAGCTTCCTCTATGAGCTCCTTCCCCCTTGGCTGCTGCCAGAGAACTAACCCTCTAGTCCCAGCCCTGGGGTTTATGTGTGCCCAGGGTCCTGCCTTCTTCCCATCAGCTGACCAGGTGCAGGCTAATTCCCTCATTAGCCAGCTGCCACGGCAACCTGCACCTGTAGGGGTTATGCCTGGCTCCTAGGGCCCTCTCTCTAGGCAGTTTCTGCCCTTAAAGGAGCATGCACACCTTAGTGCCCTGCGACAGTCGCATAGTGGATCCGTGGCAAAATTGGAAGAAGAACTACATTTCCCAAAGGCTGGTCTTGAGCTTTATCGATGTCTGTGTTGCGCTTTGTGCCCTTGCCCTCCCTTTTCTACAAAACAGGACAATCTGATTAACTGAGCTAACAGTCGCATGATAAATTTAGAGGACACTAATCAAAACAATATTCTTCCAAAACCTAAACAAGACTTAAGATACCGTATTTTCTTATATGCAACACACCCTTTGTTTCTGTAAATCATAATTAAGAATAAAGGATTTTACTAGAGTCGTGATTGTATACAGCAAGAACAGAACCTAATCTTCAGGTGACTCATCCTCCCTTTCCTGCTCAACTAAAACTAAAACTAAAACCTAGCTACTGTTGAAGACTGGTGTCTATGGATGGATCTATGTTTTTGCAAAAAGAGATAAAGAATCTCCAAGACTGTGAACTAGGGGGAGAGAGACCAGGAGCAGCTAGCAGACAGCAAAATTGCCCTAAGAAGGGTTTGCCTGATTAGTGAAACACCAAGACTATTAAAAAGGGAAGACAATCATTAACACCTGTGGAGTGAAGAACAATGAGCCATTAAATCAACTGAATCCTCAGCTGCCTGAACAGTAATGCCACAGCTACTGCAGTGTGAAGCAGAAATCAAGACAAGGTACTTTTATCCTGGGCAGAAAATCAGCTTCTCCACTTAATACACATACCCCAAATTTGGGGGACTGATTTTTGGGAAAAAGGTGCATGTCACGTGCAAAAAAATATGGTACCAGAAGCCAACTTCTAGTGATAATTTTTGTATATCTGCTACATACAGTTCTTAATACCTGTATGTGGTATAATCACTTACGTTGTTCTCCTAAAGTCTTTTTGAAGTGTGGGATATTCTGGCATCTTCCTTATATCTTCCCAGTCTTTATCTTAGAAAAGAAAAAGCAATTGGGCAGTTTAAAATGTAGAATAAGCAATACGCTGTACACAAACTAGTATTTGTTTGAAAATGTCTATTACTTGTTCAATATTATTGTTCTGCAATTCCCAATGCTTCCTTGTGCAGAGCTTCCAAATCCATCATACTGCCAATTTTCATACAGCTATTCAAAACAGCAAGTCATTTCCTTTTTGCTGAAATCCTGCTCAAAGGCTTTATGGCTGACCTTAAAAGTAAATTACCTGCAGGGAATCCCATTACGCTGAAAATGCGATCTAGCTGATCATGATGAAAAGGATTACTTGTTTTGATGTCTTCCTGACGACAGTGAAAAATAGGTTCTGAAGTCAATAGTTCAGCAAATATGCAGCCAATTGCCCATATATCTAGAAGAGATGGAAGATCATTTATGTGAATTCACTGAATTCTATCAGCCTGGTCTCAATTACAACATAAATATGGCCTCAACATCTCACAGTGAAATTCATTATAAAACCAAAGCTTTTAAAGCATTAAATAAACTAATATATATCTATATATATCTATATATATATATAGATATATATAGATGTTGAGGTTAGGAAAATAAAAATGATGGAAAACAGAGTATAGATCCATGCTTGATTTTAGAAGCTGGACTAGCTGATCCAGGAAGCTTTTTTCAACTTCCTTGTTTCTGATTACCTGAACACTTCAATCAACTTTTTCCTATTTTAAGAAGTGCAAGGATAAAATATTTATTTAACTACAGACTAGTTCACTAAATTCATGACAACTAACCTTTAATAAGATACCTGAAGCCACAGAATATAACAATATACAAATCAAACCTGATCAATACTATATGGACTATGTTCTAAAGATTATATGATGCCTTGTGGAAAACTAAAAAATGCATCATGCCAAAATATTTTTCCTATAGAAGGGCTATTAGATCAATGATTCCCGAAGAGTGTGCTACATTGTGCAGTGAGCTCAGAGGTGCGCTGCAAAAAAATGACACTTTTCTTTCTTTTTTGGGGGGGATTTTAAACAGGGCCGGCATGGCCATGTCCCCCAGACAAGGGCAGAATGCAGCAGCAGCTTGAAGATATCCAGTCCTGGCACAACTTCCCCACAACTGGAATTTGGTGGGGGGCGGGCTGGGAGAAGCAGTGGCAGCACTGGGACTGGATGTCTGGAAACTACCGCTGCCTCACCCTGCCTGCACCTTGGGGATATGGTTATGCCATGCTCTGTTGTGCCCCGCTCTTCATGTTCGATGTGGGCCTCCCTCTAGTCCCAGGTCCAGCTGATTGTGGGCAGCCTAGAGAGCTCTGACCCAGCCCTGGCCCTCTGGGGAGCCCTTGTCAACAAGTGTCCCTATGCCCCACTCCCAAACCCAACTATGCCTGTGCCCCGCAACTTCCCAGAGCAGCACAGAGTTTGTTTATAACCTCCCACCTCAGTCCTGGGGCACACAGCAAAGTGGCTCCATGCACCCTGTCAGAGATGCTGCTGCCCCAGTTCAGCCTGACACCATTTCCCCTGAGGAAAGCTTTCTCCATGTTTGCATTGCTGTCACTGGTTCCAGCCCCTCCACTTCCCAGCTACAGTGTGTGCACAGCTTCTAGTCCTTGGGGAGCTGCAGCAAGACCAGACATCTGCAAACTGAATTTGTGTGTCATCACCACTTTTCACCACTCCCCTTTCAAGGCGTAAGAGTGACGTGTGCTGCCAATTTTAATCCAGAAAAAAGCATGCCTGTATCATAAGTTTGGGAAACACTCTAATAGGTCATCCAAGTCTCGCTCTTTGTCCATCCAACACTGTTCTTTTCTGATGTTTAGTTTTCTAAGTCCCAAATAATAGGATTTCCCACACTTTTTTCAAGAAATACAATTCCCCCATAATTCACTATCAGACTTTCTCCCTGATGATTAGCCTGTTTTCCCTTTCATAATTTCACCTCATTACTTCTTGGCAGAGCAGAGCACGTTATAAGCATTATATCACTTTCTCAAGATTTATCATGAGTTTTTTTATTACCAGGAGTATTTGCATGAAAACAAGATTTTAGGTACTTAAGATTTTATCTGCTCTGGCAGTGGGTACAGATTGGTAGTCACGTCATTTCTATATGGAACTAGTGAAGAGACTTGAATCATTTTGCCTTACACCAGCAAAACTTTTAACTCACAAAGTAAAATATACAGTGATCTCCTTTTGGTAGCAAAGATGAACTCCTCACACATTTCACATCAAATTTTGGCTCCTGACTCCCTCCTGCCCCCCAGGAGCTAGACTGGGTGGGAGAAAGATTACATCTGAGGATAGATTCAAAGTTCCTGGATCTCTCTGATATGAATTAACATAGAAAGCACATCTGTCCTATCCTCTTGGCTTCACAAAGTTGTCAACATGACATTGGCACTCTCTCTAGAATAAAAATGTATTTTTAACTATACCCAAGTTAATAAATTCAGGTCAATGTTTCATTGACTCAAGCAGCACACCAGACACCAGCATATATTCATTATGATGCTTTTCAGTCCTTACATTCATAAAGATGAAAAAATAATAATTACTAAATTGAGTTTGTTATGCTTCTTGCTCGACTTCCTTCAAGTTCAGGGTATATAAAACTATCCCCCGGAATACTTATTAAAACTACAGAAATCTGGAGTTTTCAGTTTTTATATAATCAGAGATTAAGTGGCTGGAATAAGCCACATGGCTTGCAGTCCAAGTAAACCAGGATTTTACAATAATCCTTAACTATTATGTAACCTACTCTTAAACAAATCCTTGGGAGGTCCTATAATTGGCCTTTGTACTAGGACTTTTTTTCTTTCAGATACTTCTATTCGGCAGGCTTTAAACTAGGCTCGTCGGGGGAAGCTGTGGACCACCAAACCATGTGGCACCCACAAGGACAGCCCAGCCTGAAGAAGGAGAACATTGGGAACCTGCAAGCCATGGGGCGGCCAACAGTACAGCACAGGTAAACAACAAGAAGGTAAGAAATAAGGGGCCCCTTGGGATTCGGAGCGGGGGGGCAGCAAAGGCACCAGTCACAGGGCTCAAGTGCCTATATACTAATGCTAGGAGCATGGGGAACAAGCAGGATGAACTAGCGCTCCTGCTTGCAGAAAACACCTATGACTTAGCAGGGCTAACAGAAACCTAGTGGGATTCATCCCACGACTGGGCGGTACATATTGAGGGTTATAGGCTGTACAGAAAGGACAGGGTGGGGAAGAAAGGGGGAGGGGTTGCGCTCTATGTCAATGAGCAATATACATCGACCCTCATCAAGACGGAATCGAAGGATGAGGAAGTAAAAGGATTGTGGGTTAAGTTACATGGGGGGCAAGGAGAAAGGGATTTGGTGGTAGGGGTCTGCTACAGACCCCCACACCAAGGGGAAGAAC